ATATATATACACAAAGTCTTGGAAACGGGCTTTCTTGTACTACCACAGAACAGCACCAGAGCACAGATAGCTGACAAATTAAGATTGTAGTGTGCAAAGGCTCAGAGCTGACCCACACGCTTAAAAAATCTGGATGGGTGTTCATATGCTCTTCTGGCTGGCTCTGGAGTCAGGCCTAACCTCTGAAGTGGATGAGTGGATAAGGCTGCCTTTTCCTCCTCCGCTTGCTCTTCTACTCCTTCTGCTCCTCCCGTTCTTCCTCCCCCCCCTTCCTGTCATCAACAAGTTATTGTAAATAATTGGAACCGTGAGTAGGACTGTAACCACTCAAACAGAAACAGCTTCTTACAGTGCCTGACCCAGCTCCTTAGTTTCTGGACAAGGCTTGAATAGTGGACTAAAAAGGTCTCCCGTGTAATCTAAAGCATTCATTTTACTCAAGAGGCCAGCAAAAAGACTTGCCAAGGTCAGAACTTAGTGGTGGCCCTGACAAAGCAAGGTCTTTTGGCAACCAGCTCACAGATTTTCCCAACTTATCACTAAGAGCCATTTGGCTCTCTGGGCACCTGTTTGACCTCTGAGCCTTTTGCACAATCATTGAAAGGAAACATTGGGAACTTTCAATGGTCTAATTTCACTCCCAGATAGTTTTATTACTCTCAAATGGGCACTAAACGCAAAGGCAGTTTGATGTTGATGCCACTCACGAGCCGATTAGCGGTGACAAGGCACGTTACTTGCTTGGACTAGGGGATATGATTTCTTCCATCAGAGACGTGGTTTCAAACTAAGCAAACAAACCTACATTGAAGGTAAAGTCATCAGTCAGTCCCTCTGCCTCGAATAAAAGCAATTTGATTTTGCTCTTGGGGCTGCCAGTTCACAGAAGGCTGATCTGAGATTGGCTCGCATGAGCCACGCTTGATTCGTACATGGTCCACGTTGCTAGGTGATTCAACAGAGGGAAACAGAGGATTGATTGATGAGCACAGTAACCCTTAAGTGACTGAAATATATCCACGCATAGGATGAGAGTCTCCCATCCACAGCTACAGCTGGATTCCCAAAAAGTGGCCTGAAGTAAATTCATAATTCAAGGAAAAGAGTGAGGTTCCTGCATGATCTTTTAACAGTATCATTCCTTTTCTTGCATTTGGTAGTTTTTTTGTGTGGCTTCTCAGATAAAACGCCATTTTCAAGAGTGTGTAACTTGCTATGTAAATTCTCCCTGGCCCACAGCCTGGAATGCAAATTCTGTTACTGGGAAAGGCTTTGTTTTCAACAACATTCAAAAGCGCAGGGGGCAGGGGTCCTGGTGGTGTGTGGCATGTGAGTTCCTTTTCCCCATCACAGAAAGCTTCTGTGTTCTAATGCAGCTTACAAACTTTATTAAATTAGACCAACTGGCGCTTTGACTTGTAGATATTGATGTGGCAGGTTTTTAACGGAAAAAAAACATTTGGAAAATGTCACAAATGATTCTTCTAAATATAACTTGGAATGTTCTTGACTTGTTTGTGTACTACCTTGAAATTCGATCACTTCAACACAATTTATAGAAGTGTGAAAATGGCAAATTAATTTACATAATGATCAGTGTTGGGAGTTAGTTTACCCACTTTCTTGGCATTTTGGGTATCAAAGCCTATGGCAATTTTGTTGCTGTTGTTGTTATTTTGCTTTTAGGGAAAAATGCCCTTAGCATATCTTCCATCCATCTCTCTAATCAAAGCAAAATAAAGTAAGGGAAAGAAAGAAAATTCAGAAGCCAACATGGCCAATGGCAAATTCCCATACCCTGTGCAAGTAGGCAGAGCTCCTACTCTTGGTTTGGTTAAAATATGATAGGGAAGTGTGGATGGCTTCCGGAAAGAGCCTCCTAAGCTAAAAGTTAATCAATCGAAACTTGTAATGTGCATTTACAAGGCTCTTGTGGAGAACAAAGGTTTTCTTTGACAGTATTAGTACTCTTGGAATTTGCATCGTGAACCCATTGGAGCTTTGAAGTTTACAGAAATACCTAAGGGACGGCTCTACTTAGCTGCATAGGTTGTTAAAGAGAAACACGAAAAATCCGTGTTTGCTTATTCCAGTTGGAGGCCTCTGGGTTTTCCTTCTTTACTATTTGGTTTATTCATTTCTGGGAGTTGTCAAGCCACCAGAAAGCAGAGGGGAAAGTGGGAAATTAAGACCTTCTTCCCAATTAAGAAAGACTGATATTCTGAAAATTTTTAGGCCTGATTTTTCCTACTGTAGTTTCCACAACATTATGATGTAACTGAGGTGGGACTTTTTATTTGAATCTTCAAAGAAGAACTACTTTAATTATACATCTCAAGTAATTCATCTATAAAGAGATTTGCACAGTAACATTAACTACATATTATCAGGTGAAGTCACTATGTCATGATAACTATAGTAATTTATGTTGAGTACCTTTTATTAGTTTCTTTTCTTCCAACCCTACTTTATCTTTTTGTTACAATCCCTTTGTAATCCCTTGAACAATCTCAGTGTACGGAGCTTTATTCTTTGGGGGGAAATCTTTATGAACCATGCGAACATGTTAAAAACTGAATCATCAAGCATTGAAGGCCAGAAAGGACACATACATGCATAAACATGTCAAATGCATGTCTATACACAAGTTGATTTCTTAGATCTCTAGATCATAGAATACCTTAAATTTGTTTTATTCTTTTTATATATTCAAATGACAGTTTGATATGGTTCACCCTAACGTATACACATTTATATGATATGCATGATTATATATGTATGCTATATCTATGTAAACATTATAACTTTTTTCATTGAACAAATCATTGGAACTTAGAGGTCATTATCCCATTGTCACGGTAGCATTTTACGTCCCAGGGAAAGTCACTGTTCTAAGGGTATTGCTCTGACTCCTCAATGGGCTTCTCCTATTGAAATGCCAGACTTGTCTTCCTTGCCGCCAGTGGGCATAAGTAGAATAAAAAGCTCTGGAAGTTTCCTTACACATAGCTTCCTGTGGAGAGGCATTGCAGAGAGCTCAAGCTTCTACTTGAAGAACACCTTCTAACACCAGCCATCACCCCACTTGGCGGTTCTATTTTAGTCTACTTACTGAACACCTTGACTAGTGTAGGTGCCTCGAACACGTTGTCCTCAGTCACGAGCATGCACACAAATCTCTTTTCATCGCTGATCTTTGCATTGTTGATAGACAAAGTGTAGTTTTCTGAGAGGTTCAGTCTGTCCTTGTACTCTGGTACATCATCATACTGCACACTTTTCTTTGTAGAGGATCGGAATGCAATAAACACTGGGGACCCGTCGGGCTTTTCCTAAAAATTAAAATAGCAATACATGGTGAAAACAAGTGTAATTCCTGCTTCAGAATAATATTTCTTCTGTCATATTATTCTACATGACTTTTGTTGGTGGTGATGTTGTATCATCGCCACCTAATTCTTTGCTTACAGAAAGGAAAATCACACTTCCCATGAGGTGAGGCTGTTGGATCACTCACAGGTTCATAGAAATGGGTAAGAGTGAAAGGGCAAAGCTCAAAGTGTTGCAGCTCGTCTCACACCTGTGGGACATCGGTGGCTGTTTTGAAGGGGCATGGTGTAGTCTTGTTTAATATACAACTAGAAAGTAGATTGAAAACAAACACAGAAGTACAAAATCTTCTAGTCCCTATGATATGCTTAGGATGTGCTATTATCACATATGTTTCTCTTTCTCTTAGTTGATTCCATTTCCTTTGATAGTAAATTTGGTTCAGTGGGTTAGTAGACTCTGATACTTGGAACCAGAGGAAATCGAATAGACTCTTTCTCTTCTCATAACTCCTCCTCTTTTAAAGAGAACTAGAAAGAGTTCAGAATTACCTGGAATGACCCCCATAATGAGAACACAGACACAGTCTGCTATGTGTCCTTCTTTTCTTTTTTTTTTCTTTTTTTATGACACATATGAATAGTATGGCTGGGGCATTGAGTCCTAGAGTTGGAATAGTTGACTTCTTGAAGCTGTTTGCTACCTACCGATCACTAGTGCTAAGAGTTAATTATTTATCCCTCACAAAAAAAAATTGTGAAGAAGATATCTCATTTTCACAGAAAGAAAATACACCCAATTCACCTGTCCATGGGAAGAGTCTAGACCCTGTTGGTGTGATTTCAGAGCTCATATTGTGAAAGGCCATGCCAGTTTTCCCCTTTAGTGCAAGCTTAGGCGCTTTTGACAAAATGTATTTAGTATAACATATTTTTTTTATGGAAATACTGTAGGTAAAAAATGCTTCTGGCCAAATAAATCTAACAAATTAATCCAACCAAGGTCTCATACAATTCACAGTGCATTTTAACATACCTACTGTTCTAAGAAATGCTGCAATAACCAGACAGTTAATAAATCATCTGGTGACCAACAATGTTCCTCTGTGCAAACATCTGCAAATGTTTCAGGAACTAGGGAAGCCTGCTCTTGTGTTCCAGGAAACATCTCTACTTGAAGCTTGTTCACTGCAGTAAGTCTCTTGTGGCCTGGTGTTGGGAAATTGTACCAAAAAGACACCTTCTATTGAACTGTGTTCAACTGAGGCATTAATCTGTTAAGGTTAGCTAGACTACCACACCCACCTACCAGGATCTCTAGTCTCCGTTTCCAGACCTATCTGCACAGTTATACCTGACAGTTAAGTGTAAGCAATGGATAAAATCAACAATGTTATGTGTACAAGCCATCTCTAACATGCACACACACCAAGAAGATCCAGCAACAGAAACAAAGCTGATTGCCCGTCCCCCATGGAAATCTGAGTCTCTAGGTACTGCTACATCTTACCTTTGCAGTAGCTACACAGACGCTAGTGAAGAGAGACTGCTCTTCTTCATAGAACTGTGCTCTGTATTCCCCTGTTAATACTCCAAAACTCTGCCTTTCCTTATGCCCCCAACACTTAAAATATGGAGTTTTCAGACAAAGATGATGTACAAAGTTTGAGTGTTTGGGTATATATAAAAATAGCATTAGTTATATAAAGATGAATATTTTGATATGTTCAATACATTAATTCTTTTATATAGGTATGCAAGGTGAATATTAGCATTATGTCATTATTACATATTCATATACTCTCGAAAAAAGAGAGAGAATTATATTTTAAAAACCATAGTCAGTTCTGCAAGTCCCAAGAGGCTCACACTTACATATTTCCATTTGCCAAACATGAGGTTCTGAGGTACATCGAGTCGGCAAGGCATGACAATGGTATCTCCATAAGCTGAGTTGACAGTGGACCATCCAAGGCCTTTGGGAAAAAGGGAAAAGAGCTTCTGAGTGTTGTCCGGAAACGGTAGCAGGTAAACATGGGAAAACTTACAAGCCAATTATGTTTTCAGCGTATTTACTAGGAATATATTTCACAGAAACACGAGGCTGCACCAAAAATAACATGCTCAATGTTCTCAAAATAGCTGGAGATTATTTTCACTGAACCTATTATCAAATTAAAATTAAGTATCAAGAATTGAAAACTAGTCCAAGCAAGAGCAAAACCCAATTTTATTTGGATGGAGAGAAGACAGTATTCAAATAGCTGATTTTATAGGCAAAATGAAACTAAACTTTATTTTTTCATAATTATTAACATGGTAAAATTCTAGCTTGAAAACTCCTTACAAGGAATTATTCACAAAGTGGGTAGCTGCATTTGGGAGTCAACTTAATTGGAACTGGTGTTTGTTAATCTGAATCAAAAAACAGAAACAGGTCAATTCATCCTTTATTGAGAAATATAATAAACAATTAAAATATGAAAAGAATAATTTTGATTATGAATGTAAAACACTTTCCACATCTGCTTATAGTTATGGTGTTTTGAAAAAAAATCCTTAAGGCTTTACAGACATAGAAAGACAAATACCACATGCTCTTCCCAAAAAGGGTCAATATGAAAGTATAATAGTAATTATGGTAGCCTAGAAAGGTTAGGAAGAAGAGGGAGAGGTGGGAGGATAATATAAAAAAAAATACATCTAAGAGGGATAATTTCCAGCGCTGAAAAGCTCAACAAGGTAATGCAGTTCACAATATCCTGCCATATGTTTTATGAAGAACTGGATGAGAGGAGCTTGCAAGCATTAAGGAGTTAAAGAAAAAAATGAAACCACCCATTACCCTGATTCCATCAGAACATATTATGTACACATATTGACACATCACATCCTACTCTTTAAATATGTCAAACTCGCATGTGCTAGTTCTAAAGAAAAAATCATTGTGGTAGTTTCATTGGCAACGATATCAACGAAACATCACAGATACTTTGACTTATTATGTTTAAAAGTTGTTTAAAGTTGAAAAGGTTTATGGGTGGTGCCCACAAGGTACGTCACAGGTAGGTATAGAGCATGAAGGGGCTATTTTAATCTGCAGTGGAAACACATAAGCAGATGTTATTTAGTCCAGCAGGTGGTGCTAAAGGGTAAAGCTAAGACAATCTGCAGACCATAAAGAGAACCATTTGGGGACTTTCCGAACAGCCACACTGGTGGATGCCACCGCTCACTGTCACCCATTAATTGCTTCGTATACACAAAAGCCTTACACAGGAATTGAAATCACTCATGCTAGTAAGTAAAAAAGACGACAGAATTCCTATTCTAAAATGCAAATGGTTAAGGAGGCAACTTTCTCTTTAAGTGTGAGTAAGAATCTAAGGAGCAAATAAGTAGCACAAACCAGTTAATATACAGGATACTAGCTGGGTGTGGTGGCACACACCTTTAATCCTAGCACTCAGAGGTAGAGGCAGGCAGATCTCTGTGAGTTCAAGTCCAGCCTGGTCTATAGAGCAAGTTCCAGGACAGTCAAGGCTGTTACACAGAGAAAAAATTCTATCTTAAACACTCCTCCACATGCCACCATCCTCTCAAAGACAGATACAGAATACTAAACAGAATCAATGAGGGTGTATGTCTATTTGGTATTTGGTAGTGAAGGCACACATAAAATTGTTCATTATATACTCAGTATCTGTTAAAATAACCTTAAAACTTTCCAATTGTTTTCTGTTCCCAATGCTGAAGTTATTACTCCCTTAGACACTAAGCCATACAAATCAGAGGATCTTAAAAGAAGAAATGACATTTTGCTTTTAGGATTTATTTCATGCATTTTTCAGTGCTAAGTATTAAACCCAGGGTCTCGGGCTTGCTAGGCACGTATTACACAAGCGAGCACACCAGCTCTAATGCTGGAGTTCTAGGTGTGTGATCCCCAATATGCACACCTCCATTGAGTGAACTGTTCTAATTCATGACGTCATTCTGGTTTTCTGTAGCAGGTTCCTGAATGTGAAATTTTCACTATGTATTTTAAGTTGTGGGCTGGCACAGATGCAGGTCAACCAAGCCACAGGAAGTCTAGGACTTCAGCTCTTTTGCTTTTTTCATTGTTGTATAGTGAGGTGCTTGAATGAGATGCTGAACTGTCATTTCACCTTCATCTGTGTCAGGCCCCAATTGTTAGAAAAACACCTTCCTTTGTTGTGCCAAGCAATGCAAACAGTTCGCAGAGATCAGATTCCAATGAGACTGCAATCAGATTCCTTCCAAGGTAAAGGAAGCAAGCAAAAAGCCTTTTCCAAAATGTTAATCATTGCTCCTTTCAGAGATGATTTTTCTCTTCTACCCTTATAGAATATGAATGTGCTCTACATATGCCAGGTTTTATGACAGGATTTAAGGCCGTGTGAATCTGAAGAATATCATGTATTATTAGCATGATGAAAGCAAATTATGGCAGAGAAAAGAACAAGTAGTTTTAAACTTCGTATCTAGTATCAATGCCTGACCCTTAAGGAATTTAGTAAAATGATTTCTCATTTGAATGTGGTGACATCCTTTTGATTTTGCTCATCAGATTAATATCTTTGAAAATCAGAAAGAATTTATAAACAGGAACTTTGAGATCTTCATGCTCCCTCGTATTCTGAAGGCAACCACGTTATAACTTGCATGTGTTGAGAATATGAACTTTGTCTCGGAGGAGAAGACAACGTGGTAGTTCATGTATGGAACTTCAGGAAAGAAAAAGCTTAAGCCTCTTTTCCCTCTCCTGTGAGACTGAGACCTATTTCTGTTCTCTGATTTACAGATGATACCTGAAAATGGCCCCTATCATCTGGGATAAACAGGAGACCAAGTATTGATTTAATTGTTTTGAAAATTTATGGATCAAATCTTATAGTGAAATGCCAAATTGAATTCAACCAGGACAGAATTCTCATGGGAGAAAGTACAAAAAAGAAATAAGACCTATGACAAAAAAAAAGGGGCAGCAGAGGAAGGCCAGCAGTCATAGACAGGAACCTGTTCCCCAGATTCAAAGCAGAATGAGTACTTTGGATGGCACAGGGAGTCATAATAGTGCTTACTTTAGGATCAATTTTCGAGTTGGCTACAGTCATCGGCTCGCATCTGTTAAGTGCATATGACTCCCAGGTTCATCTGAGAGAAAGATGAAAGAAAGGCTTGCATCTATGGAAGCACTAATGTGTCTAACACACCAGAGATACAGTAACTGCAAAGACCACTGTGATTTGGTGATGAATTAGAGTCCTAACTCCTAGAGAGTTTTGATCTTTGAGATGAGGGGGCACCAAGAACTAAAGCACATTCTGTCCTGAGTGATTCTATTTACACCGTTTGTAGAAGAAAATGACTTTTATCTTTAAACTACCAAATCTGAAAGTTGAGTTCAACTTACTAGAATTCTTCGGCAGTTTTCTTCCTGTAACAGCCATTGATTAAATTATTGAGTTTTGTGCTCCACAGATTATTGGGTGCTATTGAAAACATAAGCCGACTGTCATATCTGAAAATACAACCTAAAGTAGTGGACTTTGGCTGTGCACACACAATACACTTGTGTATGTGCTTGATTAGTCATGTGTACAAGGGTATGTGCACATGTATATGGCAGTTGTACATGTGTATGAATGGGTGTGTCTATGTGGAGAAAAGAGGACAACCTTAAGTGTCTTCAGGTGCCATCTGTCTTTTTATGAGATGATCTCTTAGTGGACTGGAACTCAACAAGTAGGCTAGACTGGCTGGTCAGGAAGCTCAAGTGATATATACAACCCCAACCTTCCTGGTATTGATACTACAGATTGTAAGTGTTCCTATAAGCCATCCTACCTAGTTTCTTCTTAACACAGATCCTCATGCTTGCAAGAAAAGCACTTAACCAAGAGAGTCACTTCCCTAGCCAAGTATGCACTTTTATACTCAGCCCATGTCATGTCTGTACCTGCATTTTAACTGGGTGAGGACTCTCTATAAAAAAAATGTGCTCTGAACATTCAAGATACTTTAGTGAATTATAATTGCTAAAAAAAATGACATAAAATAACATAAAACTTTTTATGCCCGAGAAGCAGGATATAATTAAAGCACTTTTTATGAAGTGCTATCAGCCAAAAGAAAAAAGAAACAATAGAAGTGGAACGAAAATAAAGTGGAATAAACAAAGGATTTAAAAATATATCTTGACCAAATAGTTCTGATCTAGAGAATCTTAAATGCTAAGCATAAAGTGCACGGTAATTTAATTGTGTATTTCTCCAGCAAACTATTTAAATCAGAAACCAAAAGAGATATGCAGAATTATAAGTTAGGTTCACACTTTTGACTTCCAACAGAAATATTCATGAATGTAATGATTTCTAGCATATCTGCGGCAAATGACTTTTCCATATAAATGAATCCTAAAGGTCGGAGTAATGATTTTCTTTATATCGCTGATGGACCTCAGCCTCTGATGTCACAGTCCTTGCAGAAAAACAATAGTAGAGAGGACAGGATGGGAATCAGTACCCTGGTGTACTTCTGCATGCTGTAATTTAGCACAGATAATTATTACTTATTGCTCTGATATTATAATAGCATCCTCGTCCTTAGAAGCACTCGCTGAGCTCTGCAGCTCTGTTGGGTGCCACGAAAGGGTTAACTGGGAATTATAAATGGGTTTAGAGCTTGTGATGTAAGAACTAGATGCCAGTTTCACTGATATTTCCCACTTCTGTGAACAAATGAATGGCTGCAGGAGGGATTGCATACACAGACATTTGTCATTGAAGACCACCTTCGTGCATATTCGATTTTTTCATATGTAATTGTGGCGATGCTCCTGTTTACCTTATTATGACAGTACGTGGGAAGCTCTAGATGAAGCGTAAATATTTTGTTATATCAGTTCTCAGCAGTGTCGGTTACACCTGCGTTTAAGGTTGGATCCACCTTT